TATATATATATATATATATATATATTGTTTCATCTGTTTATATAAATGAGTGATGTCTCATCTTATTGATGCGACAAAAGAGGTTTGTTTCGATAAAATATTGTTTATTTGTTATTTATACAAATATGGGTTTTATAAAAGTGTTTTGGTTATTTTCATCTTGTAATAGCAACAAAAAGATTTCCCACTAGACTTCAAAGTCTAACCCATTTTGGTGTTTCAAAAATGTGCATTACATGTCGGACACAACCAGAAGATAAGGGGGAAGGAAAAGATGTGAGGAGTTTATATGCTTACATGGGGTAATGATGATAGCATGCTATCTTTTGTATTTGAATACTTGTTATGTATGCAAGTTTTTTATAGGGATTTTGTGAAAAAAATAAATATGGTAGCTACTTTGTAGTGTAGTTTTTGTAAATAGCAGGACCAATTGTGTAAATTTTATTTCTTGATATATGAAAATATATGTTTACATGCAAATATGATTATAGGTTACAAAACGTTAGAGATTTAAGTTCGGTGGGAAAAAAAACAAAAAGCATCTATTGTTTGCCTTACTTGTACATTTATGTAAAGTTTGATTTGTGATAATGAAATACAGAGTGAAGTAAACTAGGGGTGTGCAAAACCGATAAACCCGACTAAAAAGAAATTATGGTTTGACAATTGACTAACCTACCCCAAGAACTAAGACTCGGGGTGCACCAGTTTGAACGGATACATGGATTTGAATTGGATTTGCAAACCATCGAGTTAACTCAAAAAAGGAGAACCAAATATCTCTTATCAATGATGGACCAAAATAAAAGAGGGACAACATTTCAATTACATTTTTTGTAAATATTAGGAAAATTATATAAGTTTTAAAAAACCTTAAACTTTTTAGAGTAACATTTTGGAAAAATTTATCTGGGTTATCTCGCATAATGGATAGAAAACCCTCTCAATTACCAACTGAAGAAAAAAGAACAGCAATTTGTTTTTCTCCCAGTTGTTATGTACATTATATAGTGAGAAATGATGAGGGTTTCTTTACATTATGTGCTGGCGCTATAATATATGTAACAACTGAAGAAAAATATCTGCTATTCTATCTTTTTCCTTTAAAACATGGATTTTTAGTTTTTTTTTATAAATAATATGTAATTTGTCTAAGGAAAATACGATTAAAATAAACAAATAACAATATTTACATCTAAATATTCAGTGGAATTTACACGAATAAAATTGATCATTGTGCAATATATGTATAAACGACTATTTATTTTTACATCATGGAAAAGGTTTATTGTCTTTGACCACGTTACATAATTTTCTGAAATCACCAAAGTTGAGTCACTTGTTTTTACTACGGTAAATTAGGTGAAAAAATCACATGTGAATGTATAAAATGTTCTCTAATTTTTTCATAAAAATGTCAAAGTTAACCATTTAATGATCGTTTTTGTTTGACATAATAAAATGTAATCACTTTTGAGAAATAACAAAAAAAAAATGTATTCGTTATTTAAATTCGTTAATGTTGACTTCTGAATATTCAATGTAATATATAAATTTGGATGACAATTAAACCTTTTACATTACATGCACATGTGAATGCAAATTAATAAATCACAAGATAGATTGTGTCTCATACTTTTGAACAAACTATGCATAACCCACAATTACACAAACCAAAATAACATTCACATGTGAATGTAATCATTAGCTAAAACCATAACACTGTCATGAAAAAAATTTGACGGAGATTCACATTGTATTCTTGTTTAGTTTCTTCGTTTGATGCTAAAAACGAGCAAGTAGTATATGTTTTGCTAAAAAAACTGGTCTGATTGAAACATTATCACAACCGTTTTTCCCATTGGTTTTCTGTAGAATTTTCGAAAAAACGAGAATACGATCACAACCGATTTTGATTTGATAACATTTGTTGTTATCATCCCTTTTTTACGGAATTTTGGTTTTGGAAAAAAAGTGTACAATTTTATCATTTGATAAAAAGAAATAGATAATGAGGATGAGTTATTTGATTTTTTTTAGGTTCTCCCCCAAACACGCCCTTTGAAACCGAATCCGCCTCCAGATCTCGCTCTCAGCTCTCGATTTTCAAGCTCCCGTCATCTCGATCTTAAACACCTCAAGCTCAAGCTCTCCATCTCTCGATTTGCCTCCCGATCCAAGCATCTCTCGATCTCTGAAAAAAGGTAAAGTTATTAATGGTTCTCTTCAATTGGTGTCTCTGACTCTTTGTTACTCAGCCTCAGGTTTGGAACCCGAAACCCTAACTCAAAATTGTACCGATTTCACTTACTTCAGTTACTTGATTAATAGATTTGCCCTAAATTAATTTTATTTCACTATTGATTTTCCCTGAATCTTATTTGCATATTGATTTGATTTTGCCCTAAATCTGACTCAGTTACTTGATTAATTGATTTGCCCTAAATTATAATTTGTTACTTGGTCATTGATTGCACTCTCTAATCTGTTTCTTGTTACTTGGTTCTTGATTATGGATTAGTGATTTTAGATTTATAGAAATCAGAGTACAGATAACCTCTTAAATCCTAACTAAAAGGGTACTCCCAATTCTCTGGCAAATAGACCTAAATTTTTATAGGTTTACGTAAAAAACCTGAGTTAGGCCCGGCCTATAGATAATAAGCCTAGTGCACGACCCTGTTTGGACCGAAATTTGGTAATAAAAATAGACCAAAATCATATACTTCATAATCAAAAAATTGATGGTATCTTTTTGGTGCATCCTCTCTGAAAAGTTCCTAGGTCTGCCTCTGAGTTGGGATGGACTTTAAACACTTGGAGCTTATCATTACAACTCTAGGGTTGGCTTCCCTGTGAGAATGGTAAGAAGGGATCTCCATCTTGGATCAATCCTAATTAAAGGGAACCACTACATCAACACTAATGATATAACTAGATCAATTCCCTTCTAAAGCACAATTCATCGGTTGTTTTGGGATTAAAAGTGATCAAGGGTCCAAATCCTTTCTTACACTTCTCACCTTAACTCCTATTCTCACACGATCCTTCGTCTACAGCTCCGAATGAGGATTATTGCCCCAACTAGAGGACTAGGTTTCGCTAGACAGAAGAGACACAGAACACTGCCACACAAGGAAGTTTTATCATTCATCATTCGCATAACTCCTTCATGCTATGCCTTGTAGTTCTTTTTCCTGTTAGCTGTTACATGTTCAACAACTACACCTGTCATCTTTTTTAGCCATGTCATGTTCATTTACGATTTCATCTTCTATATGGAAGAACCATATAATCTTGATTATTCAGTTCATAATGAGTAAAAAATGAAGCCGCTCTTTGTCAGCTGAAGCATGGTTTTAGAAAGCGCCTCGAGGCGAGGCGGTCCAAGATCGCACATGAGGCCGTGCCTTTCAGTCCCCAGACAAGACGTACACTTTGGTTGTCTAAGGCGGTGGAGAGGCGTACGCCTCGCTACAGAGGCTAAATAATTCAAAAAATGATTGAAACCTTCCCGATTTCCTTTTTGAAAACCTTGTTATTCTCTGGTTCTCCTAAGCCCTATCTGCTACTCATCCGTTCTCCTTCTTGAGTTCCAGTTTTCTCCCATTTACTCTGCGTTTTTCTTCTTCGATTCTTCTCCAGTTCATCAGAGTATCATGTAGTATTATATATGTATATACTGAATACACTTCTATATTTAATATCTCCTATGTGTCACAATCACAGTCACACGTCTACTCTCACTTTGTTGATATTTTAATATTTTTTTTGTTTATGAGCTTGACCATATATATATATTATTAGATCAATCTGTTCTCTATTTAGTAATATAATATGATATATATATATATATATATATATTTTGTGTCTAGTACTCAAGTCTCTGTGTGTGTATATATATTGCATATATTTTCTGTGTATAAACAGTGGAATGCAGGTTGGTATAGATATTTTTTTAAGTATATAATATTTATATACGGCAACTAGAACAAATAAACTAACACACCCTCCTCACCTTTGGTGAGGTTTGAACCCTTGACCTCCTAGGAGGCCAAGGACTCACATACCGCTAGGCTAAAGACCCTTTGATATATATAGATATATTTTGTGTAGTCAATATATATATATATATATATATATATATATTGGTATATATTTCTGCCTCGGGGCTTATGCCTCGGACCGCCTGGCCTCGTTGAGGGAAAATGTCTCGAGGCCCGATTCCGCTTTTTAAAATCTTGGGTTGAAGTATTTTTCATTTCGTTTATGATGTTAACAGTTGCAAATCTGAAACATTTGGCTTTTTGTTGTTAATGCTGTTTACAACCAAATTTGGTAAACTGCTCAGTTTTCTAGTTAAATTGATGAATAAATTCAGTCGGCTTGTATCTCTATCAGCAAGAGTGTGAATGAACAATTATGGAGTCTGAGCTCTCTGAATTGGGGGTTTATTCTATTTAATTCAATATGTTTAGCTTATAATGGAGCTTTCAGACTTGTGAATCATGAATCTATATAACTTTTTCGTGTTATGTGTATCAGTGCATGGATTCTATAGTATTAAGTAATCATGAACATTGCTTGAAGTCAAATTGTTTTTAAGCATCGGCCATGGATTTATGTGTCATAAATTATAAAAAGAGGATGTTTTTTTATTTATGTTAAATGAAATGTTTACAGGGATTGTAGGAACTGCTAGAAGTCAACTGTTTCTTTTCGGACTAATGACAGCCTCTGTATTTGTTAGGTAGTATGGTGTAGGATGCCTTTTTTGTATGGGTATAGCAATTTGTCAAATTATAGAGAAATCTGACAAACATATGATTCTCCTAAAGGTGGTTTGCATAGGGGAACTGTATGATTAATCCCCCCCCCATATATAATTGTACACATTTCTATTTTAGTTAGTCCTAAGTGCCTACTTTCCAATTCTACCCTTGGTTATGAGACGGAGAAATTCATTACTCCTCCCTCTATTATCAAGGGTAATATTGTCATATAATTAATTAAAATACGTAATAATTACACATTTCTAAAACTATGTCTTTTTCATCATTAACATCTACTTTGGGACGGAGGGAGTAAATTTTTTGGGGATGATAGCTTTTTCTTTTCTAGTTAATTTTTCTATAATCGAACTCAGAATGCCTCAGTCTTGATGTTACTTATTTGTAAATATTTTGGCAGTAGAAGATGATTGGAAAACCGGCAACAGCTGTTCTGTATTCCCTACTTAAAGATGGCGAGAAAAGGCCAGTTGAAGAGATCATTGTTGATTTCTCCTCCAAGATCTCTCGATCTCTGCATATGGACATCTGTTCTGCACTCGTCATTCTCTTGGAGGACACACCAAAGTTTCTGAAACCCACCGAACGTTTGGTTGCGTTTGCTTTACTTCATCATTCATATTCCTCTGTACAATCATCCACCAATCCCTACCTTTCTTTGCTCATAAACTTTGCGTGTGACGAAAAAAACCAAGATTTTGAAAGAGCATTCATCCTTCATCTGTTAGGCTCGGCTAAAGAGGTGTTCAAATTGTCAGCTGCAGATTACATTAACAAGTTTGATCCTTCATCTCACAATTTTCCACAACTCGAGCAGCTACAGCACCAGTTCCGTGACAAAACCCATCCCCATCCCCAGCCGTTCAATTGTTTCTTCAAGAATGTCGCGATAAAAAATGTGATCCCAGACCCTGATGTTCCCCGTGGTTGTGATGTTAATTCGCCCGAGTTTGACTCCAAACCGAAGATTGGATCTGGAGACAGAGAAGAAACTGTGACCGGCCTGCTACAGAATTTATCGTTGGAAGGATTGTATCCTCGTTGGACTAGGCCTCGCCCACCTTTGCTTCCGATACTCGAAGGAGAATTGATGTGGCTTAATCCCGACAACACCCATGAACCACTTTGGGATTTCGGGATGTGTGCTGATACTAGCCGTGGGGCTGCGGTCCGTGATCTAATCGTGAAAGCATTGAAGGGCCCGCTTGCACCTGCCCAACAAGAACAGGTTTTACTCGAGTTAACATCAGACCCGAAACTCGTGTACCACTGTGGATTGACTCCGAGAAAGCTGCCAGAATTGGTGGAGAATAATCCCCTCATAGCGGTCGAAGTTCTGATCAAACTGATGAATTCACCGGAAATCTCAGAGTATTTCACGGTTCTGGTGAACATGGACATGAGTCTTCATTCGATGGAGGTTGTGAACCGGCTGACGACCGCTGTGGAACTGCCGACTGAATTTGTGCACATGTACATAACCAACTGTATATCGTCTTGTGAGAACATTAAGGATAAGTACATGCAGAACCGGTTGGTGCGGCTTGTGTGCGTTTTTTTGCAGAGTTTGATTCGGAACAAGATCATCAACGTCCAGGATCTTTTCATCGAGGTTCAGGCGTTTTGTATCGAGTTTTCTCGGATTCGAGAAGCAGCAGGTTTGTTTAGGCTTCTTAAAACCTTGGAATGATTGCATGTTTTTTTTGTTGGTTTTCTTAGTTCTTTCTGCATAAAGATTTGTGTTGGTTATGGATCATCAGGGAAATATGGGTATTTTGGATATGAATTTTAACCTTAGTGTTAAATTAAATTTAATTATATAAAACTAATATAATTGGGAAAATAGTTAGCTGTTATGTATTTCAATCATCTTATTCCTTGATAGAAAAAACAACACCTGAGGGGCTGTTTGCTAAATATTTACCGTCTTCTATCGTAACTTTTTTTTTTATTGGGTAAGAGACTTATCTTGTGAGAATCTTATCTGGTATCGTAACTTTTTTTTTTATTGGGTAAGAGACTTATCTTGTGAGAATCTTATCTGGTATCGTTAMCTTTTTTTTATTGGGTAAGAGACACTTATCTTGTGAGAATCTTATCTGGTAAGGTAACTGAGGGTGTCTTCGATTGAAGAGGAGGAAAAGAATGGAAATAAAATTCTTTTTATGGCTTCTCGAGTTGGAAAGAAAGGAAATGGAAACTGTTAGAAATTACTGCAAGGATTCAAATAAAAATCTAAGATGGTATAAGATCATTTTCTTTGAGCAATATTTCCAACTTCTATCACCACTTGTGGGAGCAAGACTATTAGGGGCCGTTTCCTACGCAGAATTGGAGTGACAAATTTCAATTCCTTTCTTTGGTTCACTTCTTGAAATGGATGGAATTTTTCAAATTCCATTGAATTCTACAAATCAATGAATTCATCATTCTTTGGTGTAATGGAAATGAAAGGAATTGAATTCCATCACCACCCACCACAACCATGTTACTATTGTTCTGTCATGTTCCACCCCTAACCCCCCACCACCACACCACTACTGTCGTCGTCATCCACCCTATCCCACCACTAACCATCATGCCACTACTGTTGTCATCACCACCCACCCTCTGTCACTCACTGCACATCCTTACTACGACCATGCTACTACTGTTATTGTCATGCTCCTAACCTAACCCTTACCACCACACCATTATTGTCTCCGTCACAACTGCCACCCTACCCCAACACACCACTGATTACCATGTTACTATTGCCGTCGTCATACTCACCCACTCCCAGCCACCCGACCACCACTTTCGTCGTCATAGCTACTACCCCGCCACCCATCCCCACCCGCCTATCCGCCCCCAACCTATAAGGAGTGGTGGGTTTGGGTTTGGGTTTGGGTTTGGGTTTGGGTAGGGGTGGGGTGGAGTGGAGTGATAGCTGTGATGACGACAATAGTGACATGGTGGTTGGTAGGGTGTGGACTGTGGACGGGGCAATGGGTGGGATAGTCCAAACAAAGATAGTTGTTCCAATTATTTTGAGAGATTTCATTCCAATTTCTACCAACCAAATGCATGGTCAAATTCTATCAAATTCCATTCTAAATCCTTCAAAGTTAAATTTGTTTGATAGATTATAATTCCATCAAATTTCATTCTCTGAACCAAACACCCCCTTAGTTGTTTACTTGTTCAGCCGTTTAAGTAATGTTTGTTTTTTTGATTAATTATTAAGGGGCCGTTTACCAAATGCTTATTCGGATAAGCGGTAACCAAGTCACATTATCTTACGGGATGAATATAGTAAGAACCAAGAATCTTACCCGGTAAGAACGAGACAAGGTCTAAGAGTCTTACCCGATAAGTGAGAGCGATGACTCTTACCACGGTTAGTGCTTACCAGGTAAATTGTTGTATAAGATGTCGCTTTTGTTGACTAAAATCTTACCCGGTAAATAAGTGATAATGTAAATTTTTATCGGTAAACGCTTATCGAATAAGTGTTTGGTAAACTATCCCTAAGTAATGGTTGGATTGGATAAATCATTATCACGTGCATTCAGCTATTTCTATTTCCATTTTGATTTCGATAAATTTTAATAGGAAATAAAAAAACAGCTCTCCTTGGTTGCATACATGTATATATAAATTTTAGTAAATTTTGATAAATTAATATGTATGTGTGTGTATACATGTAAATATAAATTGTAGCAAGTATCTATTAAAAATGTTTATCGGTTTCAAGATTATTATAAAAACAATATTGATCATTTCCTAAAAAACCTCTAATCTATATAATATTTCATGTATTTCTCTAAAATTAAAATAATGAAGATGATAATATCCATGATTAACACCTTCCATAATAAAAATGATTAATCAACCTTTCATAATTACAAAAAAATGATCAAAATAAAAAATTATGATTGGTTGAATGAGATTTGCACGGTTTATACAAATTAAGTGGTTTTTATTTGAACGCTCTTCCATACATGTATATATATATATACACACATATATAATAAAGCTAAAAAGAATATATAATAACTGGAGTTAAGATCCTTGTCTCATTGTGACCATCTTTTCATGGAAAATTGAATTTGAGTCGTCAATCCACCTCTCTCACAAAAGCAAACAAATGTTTGATATTGAAATCTCTGATGTTTTTGATATCAGCAAGGTGTATACGCTAGCCATTACATGAAATTCAACAAGACAATTAGATCCCTTGCATGAAATTCACAAGACGTCGATGGCATCTTGTATTTCTTGATATCATGCAACATGTATTCAGAACATTCCCCATGACGAACATCTTTTAGGATCTCAGAGAAGAACTTATCAGAGGGGTATAATTCTGGAAAAGTGGAGAAGCATGGGACTGAAACATGCATCATTGCAAGTAATACATGCCGAGGACTCAAAAGCATATGTTACTCATTGAGGGTTCCCGATGGTGTTTGATAACAAATATGTATGAATGGTTGCAGGTATGTTATCCATGAGGCATGTCGAGTTGAAACCTTGTCTTGACTTTCGAGGTGCTTTAATGAGTCGTGATCTGTATATAGAATAAATTCTTTGCCGAAGAGATAGTGACGCCAATATCGGATCATTTAACAACTGCATAAAGTTCCACATCGTGAATGTTGTAACGAGCAAGTGAACCATATAGTTTCCCACTATAATAAGCGACTGGACGTCCTTGTTGAGTGAGAACGACACTTTTGGAGGCATTACTATATATGTAGCTCCAAGTTAAGAGAAAAATTTGGTAATACCAATACAAGAGTTCTAGTAAGCTTATGTTTAATTACCTCAAAATCCATGGTTGCTTCCTCAGTCCTGTGAACTCAAATCCATGTTTAATTAGCTCAAAATCTGGTAATATGAATACATGAGTGCAATCAGTAATCGATGCTACAGTGCTACTAAAGTGGGGAATAAACCTTCGGTAGGAAGAGGCTAACCCATGAAAGCTATGAATCTCTATGATGGTGGGCAGGATTGGCCATGACTTGATAGATTGTACTTTATTTTGATCGACTGTTAATTCTTCTTTTGAGACAATGTAACCAAGAAAAAGAACTTGGTCGGAGCCAAAATCACATTTTCTTCAGCAACATAAAACCTGTCTCATCACATTACTGAGAGGACTTCCAGAGAATGTAGAAGATGGTCTTGCACTGTAGTACTAAAAATGAATCAAAATAGGCGACAAACATATCAATCAACGGGCCAAGTTCCCTGATTCATTAATCTCGATCATAAAGGTTCTTGGTGTGTTAGAAATAGCAAATGACATACAACCCATTTGAACAAACCTTAACATCTTGTGAATGTTGTCTTTCATTCATCTCCTGGGCGGGTCCGGATTTGGTGGTAACCGCTTTTGAGATCTAACTTGGAGAAAATAGTGGCTCCGCTTATTTGGTCAAGGAGTTCATCGACGCAAGGAAACAGAAATGTTATCTCACCATTATCGTAGCATGGTCGTCCACAAACATGCGCCACGTTCCAACTTTTTTTGAAGTAAAAGTGTCGAGACAACCCAAGAGCTAATTAAGACTTTCTCGAATATATCCTTTTGCTACTAACTCTTCAACTTGGCAATGGAGTGCTTAGTGTTCACTCATACTCATCCGGTAGTATGGTTTGTTAGGAAGTGTCACACCCGGGACAAAGTCTATTTGATGTTCTACGTAAGAAGTTCTTTCAGAAAGACGTGTGAAAATTCTTGGACTAGCGTTCGAAATTCTAGAGATATATTACGATGTAGAGAAGATGTGTTTGGGGCTGTAATGAGTGCATATACAACACCCTCTTGCATGACCATTTCAAATTTGGAGCGAATATGGAAAAGAACTTTATTAGGAGTTGCTTCATGTTTTAGTGCTTTCTCGAGTGTTTTTTTCTCGTTGGATGTTGTTTGATTGTAGTAATAGAGGTCTTGGTATATCCTTTGATGGAAGAATTGTAATTTTCGGTTCTCATCATGGACGACATCTTAGTCGTATTGCCATGGTCGTCCTAAAAGAATATGGCATGCATCCATGGGAACCATATCTCAATATTTATCATCCTTATATGTGCTTCCGATAGAGAGAGAGAGAGAGAGAGAGAGAGAGAGAGAGAGAGAGACGAGAACCTGATGAGAGATGTGAACCTTTGCATCTTGTTTTAACAATGAGAGTTTGTAAGGGGTATGATGTCTTTTTGATTTAAATGCCAACTTGTGAACAACTTCCTCTAAAAAATTTGATCAAGTAGTGTTTCATAAGCTTCAGAGGCTCTTACTTACCAAGAAGAAATCTTCCAAAAATGAGGAACTCGAAATGAGTATCAACCAAAAATATTTGTTCCAATAGTAGACCTCAAAACCACCAAGTGTGTAACTCTGAGAGGCCCGAAGTGAGATCCAAGGATGAGGATTAGACTTGGAAGTTCTTTGATCCTTGATAAAAAAAAATTCAACAACCTATTTCCTGGTTGCAAGAAGCTATTTGTGATGAAGTGTTGGTTTTGAATTGTGCTCCTTGATCCTTTGTTGTTCAGAAGCATTTTCTAATGAAGAACAGGTCCATAACTGAGATGAACTGAAGTCGTGGACATTTTGAACTCAAAAATACATCTGATGTGAGCATTAAACAAAACATTTTAGAGTTAGGCATGTCTTAGTGCAATCCACAATACCGCCCATCATTTTTGGAAGAAAAAAAAAACTTTTGACGACAAAGAAGGCTACCGTCCAGTGCCATTTCCTTGACTTCTATGATGTTTCTTGTCATGAAATATATGGAG